CTGGCATTGAATTGATGACAGTGAATTTGGTGGGGTTTATTGTTTATTGTTGTTGTTGTTTTAATAGGGTAGCTCTAAGTCAAAAGTAACTCCATGGCAGTGGGTTTTAATTTCCTTTCTCACAAGGTTCTGCCATTCTAGATTATTGTTTTGCTCCCCACCGCCCCCCTTCGGCTTCCCTCCCAGTCTATGCAGTTTTAGAAGTCTTCTAACATAGTCTCTGTAATGTCGTAGGGCACATACGCATACACTATATGCCTACCTCACCCGCATACTTATGTACTCTTTGCAGCTCTCATTAAAACGACCCACTTTTCACCTTTATCAGTGCTTGCTTCTGTCTATACTCCTCTCTGCCTTTCAGTGAGACATCACGGCACGAGCCGTTTCTTCCTCCTGCCTGCATTTCCCACAGCAAGGAGAATGGTGCCCTCGGCGGTGTCGGTGGGTTACCATCGTGGCTGTGTGTGCAGTTGGCCACGCACCCTAACCACCTGGCTCTAATCAGTGTTTCAATTGCCATGAGCAGAAAGATATTCACTGGGAAAGGGCTAATTTATCCATTTGGATTTTATGGACATATCCAATTAAATTTAATTGCCATGTATCTGGATAGAATGATTAGCTGTAACACTGTTTGCTTCCGCGTGGATTACCCCCAGCACAATAATAAATTATTAGCTACAGAGATAAGCAATTTGGTATGCAGAGGAGAAGAACATGTAATGTCAAACAGGTTATCTGATAAATCTCAGAATTAGGGCTTGTAACGATCTCACACAAGTTAAAGCTGGTGATTGGGGAAGTTTCAGTGAGGGTCAGGAGGGATAACTCTGCTGGAATTAAAAGGGTATAATGTCCAAGAGACCCCAGAAATACCCAAAGTCCCCTGCCAATGACAACCAGGCCACCCAGGAAGCAGAGGGGATCAATGGGGCAATGGACGATGGCCCATGTGGCATAGGGTGGGTTCTCTTGTTGCAATTTGGGAAGAAGCAGAACTTGAGTTTGCAGTCTAAATGGGGTTTCCTTGATACTCAAGGCATCACTGGGTAGCATTCCCTGAGTGCAATCACCAGGCATCTTTTCCTTACTTAAGTGTAATACAAAGCAGAGTCCTGGAAGGAAATGGATGACA